TACATAGTTCCCTAATAGCTTTTGAGAAATGAACTCGGCGTAAAACTCTTGACTTAACTGGGGTCTTGAGACTCTTTACTTAACTTGAAACTCTAAGCTCTTTGCTTGACTTGAAACTTGAGTCTAAAGTTGAAGTTAAAACATTCAATGAAGACTCTTGAAAACCTTGGAAGACTTGCTTGAACTTACTTCTTAACCTTGCTTGACTTGACTCTCACTTCCCTTTAACTTGATACTAACTTGCCTTGAATCGAACTATGGATTCAAGGTATATGATCACACGTATTTAGACGAGTTTGAGATGTTTAGAAACACTTTGGGGTGTTGGAAACAACTAGGGAACATAGGTATAACACCTAGGAACATGCATGAGAAGGTAGGGAAAGAATGGGAAAACTTGGCGCTCTGAGAGGCGCGGAGCGCCAAGCCAAAAACTTCAGAGATGGCCTGCTGGCGCTCTGAGTGGTGCGCCGCCCCAAGGGCTGGGATTCAGAGCCCCTCTTGGGGCGCGATGACAGGCGCGACGCGCCAATCCCCTTGCCCAGAAACTCGACTTTTCTCTCCCTTTTCTTCAACTCTAAACCACCCTTACTCCAAGGGCTTCAACCTCAAACACTAAGGATCATCATATCCCTCAACATACCATGGATTACAACTCAAAACACAACCCAATCATGTCTCACAACCAACAACAACTTCAACAACACAACTAACAACATCAACAACAACTAACAACTTCAACAACAATTCCAATCTTTCCTCAAATCATAAAATGAGCTTGGTGTGTGGGGGAAAGGATCAACCCACACAAAGAACTCACATACCTTGATAGGGATCACCCCCGACGAAAGGCCACGATGATCTTGTCGGAAACTCCTTGCTTGATCTTCTCTTCCTCCTCTTCTTCTCTCCTTCTCTCCTTCACTCTCAAGCCCTAGCTTTTACTCTTTTAAAATGGAACAAAAATGATCCACCATCAGCCTAACACAACAATATAACCTCAAAAGAAAAGATTTGTGAAAAGACCAAAATGCCCTTAATTTTCCGGACAGATTTCCCTTCCAACTGCCCAACTTCTAAAGGGCATAACTCGCTCATACGAACTCGGAATTGAGTAAACTCGGTGGCGTTGGAAAGATCGTTCCACAAGATTCACAACCATAACTGGAACTACTCCTAAATTATCCTGAGCTGGAAGTTATGACTGCTCAAAGTTGGCCAAAAACTCACTGATTTCCCACACTTA